GTGAGTGGCGACGCCGTCCCGATCGCCCCACAGTTTGCTGAGTTCAAGCCCCCGCCGCCCGCGGAGGTGAAGTAGTTCGAGCGTGTTGCAGATTGCAGTGTCAGGGGGTCACTGCTTACATGTATGCATGTTGGCCAGACGCAACAATGGCGAATTAGACAGACGATCTCGTCTGTCAGCCGTGCCACTTAGTATGCTTCGCCCGTATTGTCATGCTGGTGCTGGGCTGCCTGGCCCGCTTACTTTAATTTCCCGAGTGCCACGTTCACACACTGTTGGGCGATTGGGTTTGCTAGATACTGCTAGGGGTAAGCAGATCAAGCGCGCTCGCTGTGGATGGTGATTGTGTGCTATGCGTTGCGAGGTCCGTCCAACGATATACCCAGCGAGCTTGTAAGAACTGGCCTGTCATGGTAATGATCGCCATCCTCATCCTCGGGGCCCTCGTCATCACCATGATCACCGAACAACCATCGGCATCAAGACACGGAGGGGATGGGAATGGGATGGGTCGCACGGGGGAGCGGGGGGGGATACGGGGAAGAGGACGAATCGACCACGAGGACACGAGGAACGTTGAGGAATTGGACCCGTGAGGATTCTACATCGACGTCCCCTCCCGACAATGCCTTTACTCCACTCGTCCTCGTGACAATCGCCGCAATCCTAGCCGTTACCGATGCCCTCCCCCCCTCACCATCATCATCCTTCGTGCGTCCTCACCGCTGCCGCCCAAATAAGACCCAGACAAAAATCAATGCCCACGAAGTCCCATGGAGACTCGATGCGAGGAGCCCCGAAGTATTGACAGATGGACTCTGGCCAAAGACATCCTCGCAACAAATGCTCGAAACCATGTGGCTAGACCCTCGTGCACATCATCGCTTCGACTGCCCAACGTCTTCCTGGCACTTATTCGTCTTCCCTGGGCGTCCACCCCCGTGTCATCCCCGTGTCACCCGTTGTCCTAAAGCGAGGAGCACACCGCCCGAACAAGGTTAGGGCGATGGCGACCCACTTGGGTCTGACACTGTTTCCCTCCACCACCCTCAGCATCGAAGCCATTTTGGCTCGAATCGGCGTTGGGTGGACCTGGCGGCCCAACACATTGGCCTTGCCAGAGTACGCCAAGTCGCCAGTGCATGACGCGTGCCACCGATGCGACTAGAGACTATGATTACTACTTCTTGAAGGGGAGCGTGCAGCTGAGCACTGGACAAGTTGCGCCTCTGGATTGGAAGCTCTATGTTTTCAAAGACGATGTCACATTCCTCGAGGTGCGTGGCCTTCTCGACACCTTCTACTCTGGAACGACGACGAAGTGGTACACTGCTCGGGCATTGAAGATCCAGCTGGCGGAAGTAGCCACCGGGCTCAATATCTTGGGACTGGAATACCTGCCAGGCGAGGTTCGGCCGAGCATGAGGGCCTACACGGCCAAGTACCAGCAGCATGGGCATGAGGGTGACTACGTGGTGGACGAGTTCACGATATCCTTGCGAGGTTTCATTGTATGGATGCTCACTTGGATGAGGACGAGGGCATCCAGGCGCGATCAGGACATGGCCCAAACAATGCTTACCTACCTGTTTTCACGCTGCCTCGGAACACATCATATGAGCGTTGACGCTATCTGGCCAGTTCTGCAACGGTTCTGCAATACCTGCCCGCGCCTCAACTCGCAGCTGCAGGATGGTGTATGTTCACATCTGGGCTACGCTGTGAGGTGGGCCTTGCCCGAGTCCAGGCTTGACGCAGACTGGGCCAAGTTTGCCAAGTTCCTCAGCGCTGTCATTCTCAGTCGGGACGATTGCCCATCGGCTGCTGGTGTATTCAACTCACTCCTGAATAACAGTGTGGATGTGATGGTCAGGGCTATTGACCGCCTAGGTTTCTCTACAGATCCACGCGCTGCCAGCGCTGGACTCACGACGCCGAAAGGCAATCGTCGGCGAGTTGATGGCGACCTGAAGTTGGCACTCAGCAATGCAATGCAACCACTGATCACACAGATGGGTCTTCTCGCAAATGCGCGCGCATCCTGCCCGCATCTGTCACGAGTGCCGCTGGCGAATGGGACCTGAAGCACACGCGGGAGCGAGTTCGGGCAACTCGCCAACTCACTTGTCTGGGAGTCGTGTGCTTGTGCGAGGATGCGAGTGGCTATGGGAAGCCAGCCGAGAGCGTCCAAGCTACGTTCGTTATCGACGCGAAGGAGTCGCTGGCAACTATGAGCATGCCTGTGGTATCCCAGCTATAGCGGGGGCAAACAAAATGAGGCGGGGAGGGGAGGGGAGAGGGATATGGCAAGAAAGATGAGGAGGACCCGAGATGGAGTAGAGGGATGCATAATATCCTCGTCCCCCCTCCTCCTCCTGCTCCTCCCTGCTCCTCCCTCACTTCCTCCCCAGTCAGCCTCCTCGTCCCCCTCCTTCCTCCATAGGCCGCATGGGGTCAGGTACGCGGGGTCGGGTCCTGATTGCAAACCTCGCTGGCGTCGACGGGTCGATGCCAGGCCCCGCAGTGGGCCAGCTCTGCCACTTGCACTTCCCATGTTTCAGCCCTGTTAGAAGCCTCCCCCTGAGACGTATCGCGAGTAGGTCTGACAATGGGGGTCCGACACCTCGACAGACATGCGCCATGTACCTGTAACGATTCAGCCCCCCCACTCCCGACAGATGCAGGCCTAGTCGGTGCAACAACTCAGGCAGCCCCCCCTCCGCAGATGCACGCCGAGTTGGCGAGACAACTAAGGGAGGGGGGCGAGAAAGGCACGCTGAGTAGGCGAAACAAGTGACCCCTCACCCCTCCCCAATCAGAAGAGGGTGGAAGGGGGGCAGCATGCCGCGTCTATGTGGCGTGCACCTGTAGATGGGGAGGGGTTTCGTGACTACTCGGCCTGGTCAGGTGCCAGCGGTGGCCCGTAGAGAACTGAGTCGCAAACGGTCCCTGGTCCGTCCTCTGGGCTCCGGTTTGGTCAACCAATTTGTGAGTCACAAACAAAAAACGTGAGTCATTATTTGCCAGGAAGAAAAACATGAGTCACGTTTTGCAAATTGTGAGTTCGGCACAGTACAAAACAATATGAGGGGGGGCAAAACGTGAGTCACGTTTTGCTTTCCGCGTACGGAAAGCAAATCGTGAGTCATTATTAGGTACGAATGACTGCTCCCTCTTCCTAACCTCTTCCTCTGTCCTGGGTCCTCCTCCTTTTTCGAAACCATTATCCTCCAATTCCAGGCAGTGCCCCTCCTTAGCATCCTGTTTGTTTTTGCGCTCCAAGGTACTGCCATCGTGGTTTGGCCCAGCTGCTGACAGCAAGGGTTGTCTTGTGGATGATGCCCTGACCAGGTTCAACGATAAGGCTGATATGTTCTTCCGGAATTACAACGTGAAATCCATCGGCAGTCTCTTGGAAAAATACAAATCCAACAAAGCGCACCTGTGTTGTTTAGACCACCAGCTCCGTCATTGCCCGCCCGTTGGAGGCATCAAGCATTTTCAATCGTTGCATGGGCAGGTTGGGAAATTAGGTGAACACGAAATGCGTTATTTCATCCCTGTCAACACACTGCCTGAGGACGTGCAAAGGAATTCTGAAGGGCTGAGCCGCCGATCTTGCATCATCAACAAAGAGACAAGGGACACTCGACTGGAGGTCCCTTGGGGCAACGCGCGCCCGATACTGATCAATGTGCTCGACGGTGCTTCGAACGGATTTTCCCACAAGTTGAGGCTTTTTTATGGGGACGGCTGCGTTGGCGACATCAGAGGCCACGAGGTCTACGATCCTCCCCACAAGCATGTTCGAAACAGAGAGAATGCCATCAGCCAGGCAAACTTGACATTTATTAAGCTTGATTTTGGTACAGTGTTTCGTTTCTTACAGGGGCCATGGAACAGCGAATCGAACCATCAGACCATCAAGCGGGCTGCCCAAGAATATTTCAGTTCGTGCAGTTGGGACAACTCTTTATTTCGCCACCATTACGAAAGGATTGCGCAGTCGAGATGCCAGGGCAGGAGACCGCCGAACTTTGGGACTGAGGATCGCATGAAGCAGACGTGGGACGAGATAAGGGACGATCACATTGTCAACCACCTTGGTACGAACTACGCCAGTAATCGGTTGCAGGCGTGGAGCCTCAGGATGGAACACTACATGCCCAGCTTCGACATCTTGCATTTAGTCATCATGTACATTCTGTTCACAAGGGGTGTGGTTGACAAGTACGCAGACCACGTTCTGCCAGGCGTCCACCTGGACAACGCATTGGAGGACTACCCCGATATCAAGGCTGACGCTCCAGTACCCCTGGACCTCACGAGCATGATGGCAACCAAGGAGGCCGATCAGGTGAAGGACTTCAGGAAGCAAGGAGGGTCCATTGGAGTCGTTGCTAAGATCTTGTCGATGCGGACGTCCCGCCAACTCGCCATCGGCCTCCTGCGGATCCCGAGCCCAGTGGAGGATCAAATGATGGAAGACATCACGAGCCGAAGTACAGCGATGGGATGCTTCAACGTGAACACCGACATGGCCTCTGGTGGCA